CCCCCCCCCGGGGTTTTAGGTAGTTTCTACTGACTTTCTCTTGTAGAAGATGCACCCACACTTCCCTCTGTCTCCTCCATTCTTTCAATACAGTTCATCCCAATCTTAGCTAAGTAGACTTTCTGTATTTCTCTATTTCGATTGCAGATATTTCCCATACGTGTTACGTAAGCCATGATTACATTTCCTTTCTAATAGAACCTTTGGTTTTTCCTGGAGTTAGTAGTCACATTATGTTTTCACTCGTTTAGTTTCCTACGGCCTAGCAATAGTTCTTTCTAGCCTGTCTGCAGGAGTCTCACTGTTCAGCACACACTCTTGGGCTTCCGTTGTTGTGTACTAGCTCCTATTGTCATGCGGGGGGTTCCCCTCCCCCAGTCCTCTGGGCCCAGTGTCCTGCTTTGGGTGCACCCTGGTTGTCTTTTCTGATTTAGCCTCCTTGCCTAGGTTCCACGCCACACCCTCAGTCAGGCTTTTTCTTTCAGGTACAACACCGATGTCCATTCCGCTTCGTGCGCTTCGCTGGATCGTCTGACATCCCTCGGTGGACCTTACGTTTATGTGTTCTTTGCTCTGAGTTCCCACTTGTCCATCCCTGTGCATCTTCTAGAATGTTGGGGCCTTTCCTCTGGAGCTGTGTTTTTCCAGTGGACTTTCAGAAGGGAGTGGAGAGAAACTCCTGTGTTCACCCCCTGTAGCTGTTAAGCCCTCTCCCTCCTCAGCACCCCACAGGCTTAGGAATCTGCTGTGCGCTTTCCTCACTGCCCCCGCCACGGCTCTGATACAACATAGCAGGACTTAGTGTCACAAGACTGGGGGTGGCAGGGCTGGGACTCAGACGCTGCTGCTCCTTTCTCTTCTCCCCCGGATGGAATCTGTAGGAAATCTGTGCCAACAAATTATTTGGGCTAGCCTTTCTCATCTTGCATTTTGTGAGTGAAAGTTTTCAACTTTTGACAGAGTCCACATACTTGGAGGTAGTTTTTGTAGCCCTGGAAAACCTCATGGCTGCTGGGCATGTCTTTCGTCCAGTTCTTCTCTACCAGGGGCGATGGCCACTGCCTCCTACCATACAGGTTACTTTTCATGTCCCCAACTTCTTGCAGGATCTACCTTTTGTGCTGGGAACTTTGAGGACACTGTCTTGGGCTTTGAAGTTGTAGATATTTTGAAGAGGCTTAGTCAGGCTTTCTTAGCGTTTCAGAGCTTTTCTGTGGCATCAGAGTGGGTAATAAAGGGAGAGGCAGAAGTCCTTGGCGGAGCTTCTGGAAATACCCCGTCTGTTTCAGCAAGAGCTCCCTGTTACTGGCTCTAACACACAATCCCTGAAGCTGTAAGCTGAGCACCGGCGGGCACCTCCTTCCCCTGCCCAGCGCGCGGGAGCCGGGCCGGGCAGTGCTGTCCTGGGGCCTGTGGGGCTGGGGACCGAGTGCCCGACGAGCTGCTGTGCCGAACGAATCCTTTGGGGGACAGGAGGTGTGGGTGCTGGTATCCGGCCAAGTGTTGCTGAACATCATGTTCTTTTGTGTTTAATTATGTAAGGGCTATAAAAATGGCGTTATAGGTAACATTAAAGGAAATAAAAGGGTGTTCTGGGGCTCTGGAGTCAGGCAGACCCGGCTTTGTTTCTGGCTCAGCCACTTTTCATTCAGTTACTCAGCAAATGTGCATGATGGTGTTTACTGGGCACCTTCCATGTGCCAGGTGTTGGGGTTATAATGAGAAGTGACACTAACCCATTTCCTTCCTCAAGCTACTGAACAGGGCATCTCCAGTAAGCGCACACTGATAGGAAAGCTGCGAAGGAAAAACAGATTGCTTGAGGCTGTGTAACGGGGGATCGGCCTTAGAAAAGTTTCCCCCAGGGAAGCCCCTCTTTAATTTTTTTCTTTTTCTTTTTGAGGTAACTTTTGCACTGACATTCTGCAGCTGGGTAGAATTAGTAAGGCACGTGGAGATGCTCAATAAACACTATCACACGGGAGCAGATGGGGGCCCGGCCCCGCGGTGCCCTGGGACGGCGGTCTGTGGGCCCCGAGTGGTCAGAAGGGATCATGAAGGAGTTTAAGACCGAAAGACACGCACGGACAAGGTGAAGGGATGGAAAGAGATAGTTCATGAGAATGGGAACAAACAAACAAAAGCCGGGGTAGCAAAACTTATACCAGACAAAATAGGTTTTAAAATAAAGGCTGTGACAAGAGACAAAGAAGGAACTCCTAAGACTTTCTCTGGGACTATATCCACAGAAACCCCAAACACTAATTCCAAAGGACATATCACCCATATGCTCACTGCAGCATTACTCACAGGGCCAGGACCCGAAGCGGCCTGTGTCCGCCAGGGGTGAGCGGTGAAGGAGGGGTGCGTATGTGCGATGGCCTCATAAGAAAGAATGAAGCCTCGGCAGCAGCAGTGACCCGAATGGGCCTGGAGGCAGGTCTGTGCTAATGAAATTAGTCAGACAGAGGAAGGTAAATGCCATATGATTCACTTAAATGGGAAATCTAAAACACAAAATAAATGAACAACCATTTAGATTGTTCATGATGTTGCCAGAATGGAGTGGTGTTGGGAAACGGGTTAAAAAGGTGAAGAGATTAAGAAGTATAATTTGGTAGATACAGAATCGTCATGGGACATAAAGTACAGGATGGGGAATAGAGTGGAAAATATTGTAATAACTATGTATGGTGTCAGGTGGGTACTAGATTTAGCAGGGTGATCACTTTGTAAGGCACATAAATGTCTAATCATTAGGTTGTGCACCTGAAACTAATATAAACAGTAAATGAAAACTAAAAAATTATTTAAAAATGTATATTAAAAACCAAAAATTATTTTGCTGCACACCTATAACTAATATATTATATGTCAGTTATACTTCAGTTAAAAAAAAACTGAAAATGACTTCACCAATGAAATTCAAATCACTGACAGAAAAATGTGAAAATGTACTGAATGCCTGTGTATTAAAAATGAGCAGGCGACTTGAATAGGCAATTCTGCAGAGAAGATACACAAACGGCCAAGAAGAACATGCAAAGGTGCTGAACACCACTAGGCATTAGGAAAATGCAGATCCACCATGAGATACCATCTCGCCCCCATTAGGATGCCTATTATCAAAAACAAACAGAAAACCCCTCTGAAAAGAACAATTGCTTGGAAGGCTGTGGAGAAGCTGGAGCCCTTGTGTATTGCTGGTGGGAATATAAAATGTTTTAGCTGCTGTAGAAAACATTTTGGCAGTTCCTCAAAAAATTGAAACATGGAATTGCCATATGGCCCAGCAATGCCATCCTGGGCATATATGCCACAGAAGAGGAAGCAGGAAATTGAACACATACTTGCACACCAGTGTTCATAGCAGCATGACTCACAAGAGCCAAAAGGTGGAAACCATTCAAATGCCCATCAAGAGGCCAACGGATAAACAAAAAATGGTACATACATAAAATGGACTGTGATTCAGCCTTGATAGGAAGGACATTTTGTAACTGCTACCTTGAAAACATTGTGCTAAATGAAATAAGCCAGACACCAAAGGGCAAATGTATGATTCCACTTAATTGAGGCACCTAAAATAGGTGAATTCTTACGGACAGAAAGTATATGAGAGATTAAGAAATGCTGGGAGGTGGGGGGTAGGGGAGTTAGTGTTTAATGCAGTAAAAAGAAAGGAAGGGAAAAGCAAGCAGATCTCAATGGAGATACAACATTCTCATGAGAGCATGTAAAACTGGGTACATAGTTGTGGGCATATGTAAGGATATCTTTGCAAAATAAATGTCATGTCCAGTAAAAATCAATGTCATTGCTCTGGATCACTCTGTTCAATTTAACCAAAATCTCTGTGTTTGAATCCAATCACTAATATTTTTTAGAAAAGGCTCCCCAAATGACTAATGTGCAGGCAGGGTTGAAAACCCTGATCTATATTCATGTTAGCCTGTTTTCTCTTTTTAATTTGCTTTTGGGCGATAGTATCACAAGAGAAGCAGCGCCCCCTGGAAGCCAGAGTGATGACAACAGTGACAGGGAGAGAGCCTTGCTCGGATGACTGTTCTTTTGGAGAAAGGAGTTGGAATCTGAGATCAATATGAGGTCTGTCCACCTTTCCATGGCCAATCTTGGAAGCTGAGAATATCCCCTTTAGTGGCCCCTAGTACCCTGACCCTGGGAGGGCTAGGGTTCATCTGGTCAAGAGTTTCAGCAGGTTTCCTTCCAGCCTATCAGAGGTTTCCACAATCTCTGCATTTCTCATTTAGCTTTGGGGCCCAAAAGATATGGGTTTGAATCTTAGACCTGCCATTTATTTGACCTGGGGAAGACACATAACTTTTCCAGTCTGCAGTTTTTTTCTCTGTGAAGTGGGGATAGAGGAGGCCCCTGGAGGCTCAGCACAGTTAATAGATTTGCTCACACCCTGTTGGTAAGTTGGGTGGTAGGATTTGAACGCAGCCAAAGTCTGCATTCTTAGCCACAGGAGGTCATCAGCTCTTAAATCCAATGATTCCAAAGCCAGGCTTCTTTCTATCCTGTCAGTGCCACATAGGTTAAGACAGGACAGGCTGTGGGACACACGGTGAGCTTTGTGATGAATTAGAACAGGCTTCATTGAACTGGAGCAAATAAAGGGAGACGTGAAGAAGTCTCAGGATGCAGAGTTGGGTCCACTCCTTATCACCGCAGGGACTCTTGGGCCAGGGAGGGGCAGATGGGGTGCCCTACCTCATAGCACATGAACAGGCCTTGCTGGGCTTGATACTGATGCCAAAGTTGCCTTCAGTGTTGGGTGGCTGGATGTTGCCCTTGCCATCAATGACCTGGGGTAAGAGGTCTTGAGTCCCACCCTGCAGGGCTTCCCAACACTCCAGCCCCACCCAAACATGGCCTGGTTTATTCATATGACACCAGTGAGGATCACTGGGGAGGGTCCCTGTCCAGAAAATAGAATAAACTCATCAAGGCTTTGAAATCAGCAAGTCATAGGTCTATTTGTTTCATGGTATATGGACATTGCAAATGTGTCTTCAAGCTAGAAAACAGGGGTCAGGAAAAGCNGTATATGGACATCGCAAATGTGTCTTCCAGCTAGAAAAAAGGGGTCAGGAAAATTAAGAGCACCAGCTGGTGGACAGAGCTGCCAGTGCTCCTCACAGCTACTGTGTGCCACCTGCTGTGTGCGAGGCCTCTGGCTGGCACTGGGAGCTGCATTCATGCCCACAATACTGAAACCCCAGGAAATCAGAGGGCAAATAGGAGGAGAGGAGGAAGGACAGCTTGGGCAGGGGGCATGGCTGCTTCTGCAGCCTGGTGTCACACAAAGGTCCAATCCCAGCTGAGCCCTCAGTGCTCCATGACCATGCCCTTAGGACCAAACCTGGGCATCGAAGGGTGGGATGGTTTTCCCCATGGAGTTGGGCTTGACCTGCATTCCCCGGGCAGTGCCGCAAGAAACTCCCTGTGCACGNGGCAGTGCCGCAAGAAATTCCCTGTGCACAGAAGAAAGAGAATGCCAGTTGTCAAAGGGCCCAGGCTGATCGCAAAGCAGCAAGAATCATACACAGCATCCCTGCTCCCAGGTGTCATTTGACGCTGCTCACGGAGCCTGTGGGGGAGCTCGAAGGCCTGGACTGTAGGCTCAAGGCATTGACCCAGCTCTTCAGCAGACATTCACTGCGCCTGACGGTGCTGGGCCAGTGCTGGCTGCCGGGGCTACAGGGTCCGCTGCGNTGGTGCAGGAGGCCAAGAAAGGAGCAAAGGGCTGAGCTCTGGGCTGAGGGCATGTGTTGTGGGTGGTGGAGTTCCCAGTGCATGCCTGGCATGTGCCCATTTGGCAGGGGAAGGTCATGAGACCATTTGACAAACATTTACTCAGGACTGTTAAACAGTGATAGGAATCCTGCCTCAGCCGCTTCTCGGGGCTGTGTTGAAATCACTGAGGCTGTCCCTTCTGCTCCCACTGCCCCGTCAGCATTTGGCCTCCTGATGAACCTATGCCCCCTTCACGGTTCCCTGAAATGCCTTCTTTCTAATGCTAAGTGCTTTATAGTCCGACAGACCAGGGTGTGACTCTAGACAACNACTCTTGACAAATTAATGCCCCTGGATCTCCTCTGTCAAAGGGGCATGACCCAGCGCTCCCTTCTCAGAGAGCCTGCGAGTGCTGGAAGCTGCACGGTGCCCTCACACACCAAGTGAGTTCAACTGGCTACTTGGTCAGCCAGCGTCACCCAGGCCCCATGAGAAGTCAGCTGGGAGATTCTCCTTCTGTCGTATTTTCCCCACATTTCTATTGTCACTGACAGGGCATTATACTGATTTTTGCGTGTCTGTTTTCCTCAGTAGATAACAAGCACCTGGGCGTAGAGACAGCCCCATTCGGCTCTGGAGTCCTGACATCTGGGAGACCACCTCCCGACATCCAGTGGGGACAGCAGTGTGGGCACTGTGGACACCTGCAGGGCTGGGCCCCGCACCTGGAGCTTACACCTGTCCTTTCATTCCCCTCCTCACCACATGCAAGATTCTACTTCCCATTTTGGAGACAGGGAAGTTGAGCTTCTGGAAGGTTCTATGGTATGCCTTTGNCCTGCAGGGCTGGGCCCCACACCGCAGCTTTACACCTGTCCTTTCATTCTCCTCCTCCCCATACACAAGATTCTGCTTCCCATTTTGGAGACAGGGAAGTTGAGCTTCTGGAAGGTTCTATGGTATGCCTACAGTCTTGAAGCCTGTCACTGGCAATGCTGAGACAACTGAGGCCTGAGCTCCTAGGAGAGGACGGTCGTCCTCTGCCAGGCTGTTGCTCACACATCAGGCACACAGGGACATCCACAGGTGAGGGAGCAGGTTTGAAGGTCTTTGAGATTAAAGTGTCACACAGGGAAAAGGAGTGTCCTANCTTCCCATTTTGGAGACAGGGAAGTTGAGCTTCTGGAAGGTTCTATGGTATGCCTACAGTCTTGAAGCCTGTCACTGGCAATGCTGAGACAACTGAGGCCTGAGCTCCTAGGAGAGGACGGTCGTCCTCTGCCAGGCTGTTGTTCACACATCAGGCACACAGGGACATCCACAGGTGAGGGAGCAGGTTTGAAGGTCTTTGAGATTAAAGTGTCACGCAGGGAAAAGGAGTGTCCTATTGTTTCAAAGAGTCAGTGCAAAGGGACAGGGTTATGGGTGTAGTGTGTGGTTGTCTTTGTCCAAAAATGAACTGGGAGCCATGCAAGAACAGGCCTAGAATCTTTTTTAAAAAAATATATCTTTATTGATTTCAGAGAGAGGAAGGGAGAGGGAGAGAGAGAGAGAGAAACATCAATGATGAGAGAGTCATTGATTGGCTGTGAGCCCACAACCCGGGCATGTGCCCTGACCGGGAATCGATCCCTGATCGCCTGGATCCTAGGTCGACACTCAACCGCTGAGCCATGCCCGACCGGGCTGGGCCTAGAGTCTTAACATTTCTCAGGCCTGGAAGCAGACCACTTAACTGATTAAAATAAGAATGTTTTTGAAAAGAAAAAAAAAGTCAGACAAATATGTGAATTAGGACTAAAGCAGCCATTTACAGGTCCTGAGGTGGCACTCGGCTCTGACAGGATGATGGGAGGCTGGGGAAGTGGCTCTGTCACCATCAGAGGTGGACTGAGAATGTGCTGGAAGAGAGGTGGCTCCTCATAGGACCACTGATGAAGTCCCTGAGGTTCCAGGCAGGCACCTGCTCTCATGCTGTGCCCCCTGCCTGCTCGGAGACACCCTTTGCATCAGAGTGTGTGTGTGTGTGTATGTCTGTGTGTCTGTGTGTGTGTCTGTGTGTGATGTCTCTGCTCCCTCCTCTACTCCTGCTCGGGCCCCACAATCAAACCTGTGTGCCACCCTCATAAACACCCAGAAATGAACTTTTGGGGCCAGCTGCTGTCCAGCCTCTGGCTGCTGCTCTAGGCAGGATGGTGACAGGGACAGGACTTGCTGGTGGGGCCTCTGTGTTGCAGGAGAGGGTCTCCAATTCCATAGTTCCTCCAGCTCCCTGATCACAGGGACGTAGCTCCATGTTCTTACACCCCCTTCCTAAGTTTTGTCCAATAGTTTTTAGCACACTGGTGTCCTGACAAGTCGATGAGCTGTGTGTGAACTGTCTTTCTGCAAACTGATTTGGGGCAAATTAGCCTAGAACTCTGGAGCCTCCCATCTGCTTGCTATGCACACAGTGGGGCTTTTGTACACAGTCCTGGCATGATTCAGCTCAACTGCTGGGCTGGGTGGCTGAGCACATCCTGGCTGGCCCAGAGGGGCCCGTCCACCTACCGTTTCTGACTGTCTGTAGAGCTGGTGGAGCAGAAGGCCCGTCCACTGTCTCCACTTCTCTTGCTCCTTGGGAAGCAGGGCCTCCCCACCGGTAGCGCAGTGCTCCAGGGTGGGGAACCTGAGGCTTAGGGGAGATGAGGTATGAACAGAGCGTCAGAGCAGGCCCTGGAGGCTCTGACCCAGGCCCAGGAGTCAGGAGCTCATTCACCCTTCTGCTCCCTCACTTTCATCCCTGCCATCCGGGTGGATGTCACTCACTGCCCGTCAGTCCCTATTAGCTCTTCCACAGGTGGGGGGTGGGGAGGCTGGGGGGGGTGATGAGGCTCATGGGTCAGTTAGGGATCAAATTAGATGTGGACGTTGGTGTAACAAAAGGGTAAAAACGTGTTTGTCAGACCTCGCCTGAGGGAACCATTCTATGTGGTAAGAGAGATATTTTTATAAACCACAAAGGGGCGAAGGCTGGGACTCCAAGGACTCGCCAGGACGGTAGTCGGACGGTGCTTCCTGCCTTCTGGGAGCTGAGTGGAGAATGTGAGTTAGGGCTGGAAATGAATTGCTCAGGATCCAGGGAGACTGGGCTGCCCTGGCCGGTTTGGCTCAGTGGTTAGAGCGCTGGCCCGAGGACTGAAGGTTCCTGGGTTTGATTCCAGCCAAGGGCGCATACCTTGGTTGCAGGCTCGATCCTGCCCCGATCGATGCATTTCTCTCACATTGACGCTTCTCTCTCCTCCCTCTCTCTTTCTCTCTCTCTCTCTCTTTCTCTCTCTCTCTCCATCCCACACTCTCTGAAAAACCATGGGAAAAATATACTCAGGGGAGGATTAAAAATAAAGGAAGATTGGGCTGAGTGTTGGAAAAGAGGGCGGGTCACAGGTGACAACCCTGAGAGAAGGGGTCTTGGAGGGAACAGAAGTCTGCTGTGAGTGTGCAGTAGGTAGATCATGTACCATTGCACGTCGTGTGCTGCAGATCTTCTCCTCCATTTTCCCCAGGAAAATTCCCATAAATGATACAAAAACTGTCACACAGTTGTGATGGAGTCCCTGAAGGAAATGGGGAGAAGTGCCTGGGGCCTGAGCACCAGCCGGCGCAGGGCTGAGCCGGGCCAGCTCTTGGGGACGAGGGAGGGGGCAGACATCTGGCTCACGGTCCCACCCTGTCACCCTCTCCTGGTACACACAGAGTCCAGAGTGATCGACGGGGGATGGTTTCCTTAAAGGTGTCTTCCTCATTCACCTGGAGCTTTCTCCAAAGTAGGTAAAATGAGCAGTCTCCAGTGGAGTCATTAATTATGCCCTGGTTAGATATTTTTTTTAAATTCTCACCTGAGGACATGTTTATTGATTTTTAGAGAGGGAGGAAGGGAGAGAGCGAGAGAGAAACATCTATGTGAGATACATTGATTGGTTGCCTCCCACATGTGGATTCCTTTTGGGGAGATGGAGGGGTATGAGTAGGTCACTGGGGGGCTGGCAATGTTCTCTTTTTGGGACTTGAATGAGCAGTTACATAGGTGTTTTATTTTCAACAATCCCTTAATCTGTAATTTATGTCTTACATATTTTTTGTATGTTATTTCACAATTAAAATGTTTACAAAAGGAAAAACCCTACAATGATGCAAGGCTCACTGAGTGTTTCATTTGGATCTCTGATCCTGCTTAATAAACTAATTAGATTTGCTGATAGTTACTACCTACAGTTCACACACACACTAATTAGACTTTCTGATAGTCACTTCCTACAGTTCACACACACACACACACACACACACACACACACACACTGCCCTCAAAGAACCAGAGTTAAAACAGTCAGACCATAGTGCATCAGACTCCTTAAAATCCTACCCAAAGATTCTTATTACAACAAGCCACTCTGCCATACCTGCTGAAATTCTGCTGCAGAATCATACGAAATATGGAGGGCACAGCAAGGCACTGGGTGATAGGGTATTTGGAGAGTGTCTACAAAGTGAGGAGAGAAAGGTCTTATTTTTATAGTTAAATTAAAAATATTAGCCAATTATTAGCATTTTAATTCTGATTGCCCCTCTAGGAGAGGCCATTTGTTCATTTAATTCTTCCAGTATATGTATATTGAATGTGGGTGTGTTTATGGACTGAGGGAGTAGAGTTGATGAAAAGTGAGAGGTTGATGAGGCAGGGTAGTTAGATGCTAGAATTTTATAAGATAAGTGGCCTCAGCTTTGTAACCACGGGAAGATGTGATCAAGGGCTGGGGAATCTGGTCCTCAGATAGCGACCTGCCCCNACGGGAAGATGTGATCAAGGGCTGGGGAATCTGGTCCTCAGGTAGCGACCTGCCTTTCTCACTCAGTTCCTTTGGTTTCAGTGGGGCTCCAGACTCACTCCCACCCCAGGTCCCAAAGGTAGGTCAAATCATATTTCCTGGTCACGTGCCACTTCTGGTTCAACCATAATGAGGCTTAAGGCTGGGGATACTGGGACGAAGCCTGTTGCTCTCTTTCTGCATTCAAGCCTGTGCCTGGTATAGTCTTGGGCAATGCTGGCAGCCGCTGGGATAAAAAGGGACAGGCCTTTCTGAGAACAGCCTCAAAACCTAACAGAAACAGCTGGTGGGTGGAGAGAAGAAAATGTCTGGAGTGTTTTTCCCCCTCCTCTGACTGCTCCTGAGGGGCTTCTGTGTGTGTAACTCCTTGAGGAAACTCAACTCCCCCATGAGCAGGCTCTGGCTCTGAGGAGCTTTTCTATGAGCAGAGGGACCTGGAGAGCCAGCCACCCCCTCATCCCCTCTGTCTTGGGGCTGTGGCACTCCCATAAGACATGAATGGCTAGGGGCCTCTCNTAACTCCTTGAGGAAACTCAACTCCCCCATGAGCAGGCTCTGGCTCTGAGGAGCTTTTCTATGAGCAGAGGGACCTAGAGAGCCAGTCACCCCCTCATCCCCTCTGTCTTGGGGCTGTGGCACTCCCACAAGACATGAATGGCTAGGGGCCTCTGNCCATGAGCAGGCTCTGGCTCTGAGGAGCTTTTCTATGAGCAGAGGGACCTAGAGAGCCAGTCACCCCCTCATCCCCTCTGTCTTGGGGCTGTGGCACTCCCACAAGACATGAATGGCTAGGGGCCTCTGTTCTGAGCTTCAGACCCAACTTCCCACTCAACATCCTTCTGGGATGTCTCTCAGGCACCTCAAGCCCCGAGCACCCTAATCTCTCCTGTCTCCCTGGACTAAGAATTCTCCGGTGTTCTCTGTGTCAGTGAGTGTCATTCTGTCCAAACCTGGGAGTCCACCTTGCCTTCCACGCCCTCCTGTCTCCCATCCAGCCAGCACTCACTGCCCATTCTATCTCCTAAAACCTCAAACTTGTTAACTTCCTTCATGCTCTAGCACCTTGTCCAAGCCACCACCATCTGGCACCTAAATTATCCTAAGACCCTCTAAATGGCCTTTTTAAATCTGTTTTTACCCCAACCCATTCTCTGTCTTGCAGCCACAGTGATCTTTTTAAAACACAAATCTGATCAGGTCTCTCCCTTGCTAACAACCTTTCAATACCTCTCATGGTTTTCCCAATAAGCTCCAATCCCTACCCCACAGTCCACCCAACCCCAGGAGATCTGGGCCCCACTCACTTTCCCAGCTCCTCTGCCTTTCACTCCCTGACACCCTGAGCAGCAGCTCTTCTCAATCTCTGTAGTTCTATGGATGCTACTTTTCATATGTTTGTGCCTTTGCTTGTTTTCTTCTGACTACACAGAAAGCCCTCCCCTTCTTTCCACCCCAATTCCTCCAGGGTTTTGCTGATCAAGATTATCATTAGCACAGGTATCCAGTGTCCACAAGACACCCTCCTGCCCCCTGGTCTGGTAATAAGGTGGAAAATATATAGAACGTGGTCTGGTCTAAATATTGCTAGTTGGGGTGGAAGGAGTAGGAGGGAGAAGATGTTTGGTTTAAATTTTTTTTTTTTTTAAACACATCTTTATTGATTTCAGAGAGAGGAAAGGAGGGGGAGAGAGAGAGATAGAAACATCAATGATGAGAGAGTCATTGATCGGCTGCCCAGCCTGCAACCCGGGCATGTGCCCTGGATCCTAGGTCAATGCTCAACCACTGAGCCACACCCGGCCGGGCTGGTTTAAATTTGATTAAATGATTAANATATTGCTAGTTGGAGAGGAGGGAGTGGGAGGGAGAAGATGCTTGGTTTAAATTTGATTAAATGATTAGCCCAAGGCTATGGCTTCAGCCTCTACAATTATTCATTTTAGGTTAAAGGCAGTGGCTTGGCTCCAGGTATTTACTTCCCCTAACAGTTCTTGATTGTGAAACTCCAAGTTTGATTTGCTCATTATGACAGAGAGAAGAGGACTTGTCACCTCTGGTCACATAGCTAGAACATTCTGTCTTCCATCAAACCCTGGAACCAGTGACAAGGACACAAGGGTTGTCATTGTGCAGCTTGTACAATGCCTGCTGCCTCCACCTGTGTTTCCTCCACAGCTGTGAAGGCGCTCAGGCAGGACCCCCTTTGTCCCTGGGAGGCTTCTGTCCACAAATGCTTAGGAGTCCAGGCTTTTGCCTCTCAGCCCCTGGGTGGTCTGAGCCGACGAGAGCAGAAGGGAGAAGCAGGATGGACTCGGTTGTACTTGGAGCACCTTTCCCAACGCACACACCCCTAGCCCCAGATGGTGACCCAGCCTCTAAGTTGGTGCCCTCTTTCCTACCTTGAAGGGAAGGAGGAGCATAGGGAGAGTCCATGGCTGTGTTTTGCCATCTTGGGGCAGCCGGAGGTCCCACTGGTAAAGAAGATGACCATTGGGTCCATGGTCTTCGACTTAATACAGGTGTGGTCTGGGGATGCTGATCTAGAAAGGGATTCAGTAGAAAGGGAGAGAAGTCAAGTCTCCCGGCTCCCACCCTCAGGGTAAGCAAAAGAACCATCATGAGGCTGAGGTCAGAAAACTGGTTTTGCAACAGTGGAGGCAAAACTGGTTCTCCAGGTCTGAGGCATCCAACGGAGTTTATGGGTGACTTGGACAAGAGGACTGACATTTCTTTATTTAAAAATGGAGAAAATGCAGCAGATTTTTAAAAAATTTAACAAACATTGAAATAGCACCTACTATGTTTCATAAAATGCTCTAAATTATTTACATCCGAACTCACTCGATCTTCAGAGCGATCCTAAGAGGGAGGATGCCCACTTTGTCACGGTCACTTTGTGGGTGAGGGAACTGAGGCCCAGAGAGGTCAGGTCGAAGACATACAACCAGCAAGCGGCAGGGCCAGGGTTCAAACAAACCCAGTCTGATCCATAGACTGTGCTTTTTTTTTTTAAATCCTCACCTGAGGGCATGTTTCCACTGATTTTAGAGAGAACGGAAGACGGAGGGAGGCAGGGAGGGAGAAAGAGAGAAAAACACATGGGTGTGAGAGGGAAACATCGGTCAGCTGCATTCAGTACAGCTGCTGCCTCCCTGCGAGCCACAATCAGGAATCAAACCGCAAGCTTTTGGTGCACTGGACAATGCTCCGACCAACCAAGCAACCGAGCCTCCCGGTCAGGGCCAGACTATGCTCTTAATCGCACTGCTAAGCTTGCTGTCACACAAACTACACTTACAGGAATTTAACTCCATAACCTTGGCGAGGAGGGGTGGGGAAGAGAAAGCTAGTGGGGGGAGAGTGGAAGAAATATATGTGTGCACCTGCCCTGGGGTGAGCCTGAGACCGCAGGTGAAATCTGCAGTTCCCTCAGTGGGCCTTGGGCCTTGGGAGCTCCTAGACTCAGTCTCCCGGGCCTGCGATGATTGGGCCTGAAGCTTCCTGTGGTTGGAAAAACTGCAGATGGTCCAAACGCTGGAGAGAACACTGGCTCTTGCTGAGAAGCGGTACCAGTCTGACTCTGGGCAATTTAAGAGATTTTTAAACAGTTTTATTTATTTAAGATTTTAAAATTTAACTCCCTGACTTTAGAATCTAGCAGAAGATGTGACTTTGCTGTAGTGTTTGACTTTTGGGGTTGAAGGAACTTTTTACTTTGAAAACAGAAGGGTTGCTTCAAGAAAACAAACCCAGTGCAAGTTATATAATGTTTTAAACCAATGTTGCCTCCATAAAATAAAAAAGAGAGAGAGAGGAAAAAATAAACACAGCCTGGCTTGTGTTGTGGATGGAGAAAGGGGTTCTGTGGAACTAACCTCGCAGGTGATCTGATCCTAAATTCCTGACGGGGCAGGTCGAGGTGGCTGGGTAGTCAGGCCCAGGCCTATCGCTTCCTCAGTGAAAGGTTTGAAACAGCTCTGTCCATTGTTCTAGTGCATCTAGGTTAACACCCCCTTGAAGCAGGAAAAGTAATACTCCTTGAAGGGGCATTAGCCCTCAAGGGAGCACAGAATCTTCACTATCCTGCAATCAGATCCCCGCCTGGCTTTCTCCCCCCTTCCTGTAATCTTTCTTAGTTCCTCAATTTCAAACACACAAAAGAAGCTACACAACTGTCATTCGCCAGATCTTGGAGAACGTCATTCTCGAGATTTTGCTCCCTGGATATGTCATCAGTTTCGCTCAAACAAATTCAAATTCTTTATAAAAATTCTCTACAGGTTTGGACATTTCTTACATCGACAGTGTGTGTGATATAAAAAACGCCTGAAGCCTTAAAGAATTAGAGTTTTGGAGGTGGAGGGGGTCTTTATTACCTCCAGCATTTCCCTAACTTTTCCTGCAAGTTGTCCCTTACTCCACCCAGACCCTGGAAGGTGTCTGCTCCCAAAACTCCCTGCCAGCCACAGAGTCGATTCCTCTTGCAGTCTCAAGTTTCACCTTAAAGGTTCATTTTTAATCTCTCATTCAACTTATTCATATATATTTGTATAAGGATAATCTTTTAGATTCCCCACCTATAAGAAGTTGGAAACACAGTAATCCTCCAATTTTACACATGTCCTTTGCATGGTCCCAGGGGCGACCATACCGTTGCCAGAGAAAAGAGGGCTGTTCCACGGAGTCGCAGGAAAAGCATTTCAGGGGCCCACGGGGAAGAGGGTGAGGTGTAGTGGTAAAATTTATCGGAGAAAAACAAACGACTGTCCGCAGGTGCCCAGTGTCTCATTCGTGACTAGACAGCTCACTGTGGAAGAAGTCCAGCCTTGTCTTCACCAAGTCCAGAAGGACCAGGTTCAGAGACGTTGTCCCATTGCACAGAAGGACCAGGTTCAGAGACGTTGTCCCATTGCACAGAAGGACCAGGTTCAGAGAGGCTGTGCCACCGCACAGCATCGGCAGGGCATTTGAGCTGCTGTAGTGAAACCCACACAATGGGTCTGGGCTGCTTCAGCCAATCAAGCAGAGAGAAGGCTGAATCATATGAGCGTTTATTCCAATAATGCCGGCAGTAAGGAGAGCAGTTAGGTCACCCTGAAAAATCTGGTCCGCCCCCCCATAAGCCAGCTGCTTATATTGGGCAGAAGGACAAAGATTACATGGGGGAGTGGGCTAAAGAAAGGAGATTGGATATCCTGGTTACAGGTTACAGGAAATGAGGGCTGGGGGTTTGCAAAAGGGTGGGGCGCCTCCGGGATCCCTTTGTTTCGGGAACAAAGTTGTCTTTCCATGACTAAAGGAGAATGGGCTGAACTCCAAGGTCAACTCCCAGGTCCCTGGGCATACAACTCTGGGCCAGCTTAGAAAGTGATTTTTCTAATTAGAACAGAATAACCACAGTTAACAGAACGTGATTAATATTTCTTATAACTATAGCTAAAAATCATGGTTAACAGGGCCTGATTAATATTTCTGCCCCTAAGAGGAGTCCAGCTTGGTCCAGCCGGTCTAGCTCTAGCTCTTAGTCCACCGGGCTGGCTGAGCCTCTGTTCCCCCTGCACTGTGGCTGCACAGGCCCTGCGGCACCCCCCCCCCCC